ATTAACTAATATAAATAAATAATATTAGTAAATAATAATGTACAAATAATAAATAATTTAATATTAATTGTCAATTAATAAATTCATTTGTGCTTTCATACCGACAACTAATACTGTGAAAATATCTAATTTTAATTATTGAATGTGAATTTATCGTCATTTATATGCAATTACTTGTTAGTGCATTTGTAAGTGTAGCATAATTTATTAATACTTAATATGAATATAATATTCATTAATATATTAGCATTCATAACTTATTACTGCTCAATGTATTAGCCTACAAATCCCTTTAGTATATTAGCATTAATAATATATTAATTCTAGTTATTTTTCTTTTATAATGTTCATTATTTATATGTATAAATGTAAAACAAATTTCTAAATTCTAAGCCTTTTCATTTGTTTCTTTTTAGCGAATCGTATTCAATTACATATTATTATTATTAACATAATATTATTATTACCTTTATTAGGAAGTTTGCACTAGTTTCAAGCATATCAGAAATGTTAATTTACTGTAATTAGTTTCACCTTATTAATAAATAAAGAGGTCGAATATATATATATTTTTTGAAAAGCATAAATCTACAATCATTGAATAAATTAGTTAATATTATCACATATATTAAACAACAGTTTTTATTAAAAAGCACATTTTAGATGTAATAATAAATATTGAGAATATAATTTAATTCATATTTTGACATTCAAGAAATAGTTAACTATTACAGAATTCCTTTTATTTTTACAAATTATTATGCTGATAGATAAATTTATATTTAACTGCATTTTAAAAATAAAATCCACTTTTAATTAATAAAAATTGGGAAAAATCTTTTCATTTTTAATATAGTATGTTTAATTTTTCTTCGAAAAAATGTTAGCAATAGTGTTAATTTAATAGATTCGTTAAAAATTTTCTATAAATGAAAATAAAACCTCTTTTTTTATTAACCACTAATTATATAAAAGTATATTTATTCAAAAGTTCTAAAATTATATCTACATATTATAGCTGTTGAAAGAAATCGGCTGCCATGGAAACGAAATAAAAACAACATTTGCGAAAAAAAAACGAGATACTTTTGAAAAAACTTTTTTTCAGTGAAAATGTGGCTGAGGCGCTAAAGAAGATCAATTAATACCATATTTCAACTTAAAAAACGTATTTAACCTTTGTTCCTTCAGCATGTTATAAATTTTCAGCTATTTTACAGATAATATCCAATTAAAATATTTTTTAACATTAATAAAAAAACTATGAACTGGTAAAATAGCGCTTTTTAAAAAATAAAAGTGTATTCATTAGAAAAATATAATAAATCCTGATATTACCTTTAATAGAAGTTTGCAATTGTTCAAATATATCAAACATATTAATGTTATTATAATTAATTTCACCTTATTAATAGTTAAAAGAGGTCGAATATAATATTTTTTTACTGTATAAAGAAACATGAAAACTACAATCATTGTATAATTTATTTATTTTTATAATATCTATAAAACAACAGTTTATTGAAAATATTTCAGATATAAAAATAAATGTCGAAATATATTTCAATTAATTTTTTTAACAATTAAGAAATATTAAACTAATACAAATTCCTTTTTAATTTTAACAAATTATTAAATTTATAAGTTAAATTTATAATTAACTTCATTTAAAAAATATAAAAATCTAGCATTTAATTAATAAAATTGGAAAATTTTAATCATCTTCCATATAGAGCTATTGCTAATTTTTTTTCCGAAAATTGTTAGCAAATAATATTAATTTAATTTTAATATTTGTATAATATTTGATAATTAAGAAATAATATCTACACCTCCTATTATAATTGTAGTAAGAGGAGTGGTATTGAAACTTTAAATTAGAGTTAAATGTAACATATCTGAAACTTTTAGCTTAAAGCTATGTAAAGTTGAGCGTAGTAAAATAAAAATGTTTTTAAAAATAAGTAGGGATTAAAATTGAATTAACAACAAAATTATAATTTTTTAATGTTGTTTTCGATATACGAGAGGATGCATTTACGCTAGGTGCAGACGTTAATAATCTGTGATGGCAGAATGACATCAATGTGTTTAATGCCTTCTACTTAAAAATAGGTTGTTGTTGCTGTTTCTTATCCCACTTGGCTGGCCAAGCCCATGCCCCTTACTCATGATTGAAGGAGGGAAGGAAGCAGCTTCTGTTGTGATGGGTACCAGTAGGTAGAGAGAGTCTGACTTTGGCTTCGTGACGCTCTTACAGTCATAGGAGACCGGGACCTACGGTTTAAAGTGGATTCGAACCACCACTACAAACATCCATGGCACCGCGCCGAATTCGAACCCGAAACCTGTGGCACCGAGCGCCAGGCACTAGACACTCGGCCATTCCGTCCCAAATTTGTGAATGCCAACGGCGCGGTGTTCCACCCGCAAGTACTGACCGCGCCCAATGATGCTTGACTTCGGTGATCTAACGAGAACCGTTATATTCAGCATGGTATGGTCGTTGGCTAAATAATATAAAAATAAGTAATTAAGAATAAGTAAATAAATAATACCTTCAAAAAAAGAATTAAGAATAATTGAGCTGAATTTTTCACTTCTTGTTATTAAACAGATCACTGATTTTTAAAACTGCCAATTGATGGCGATTTTTATAACGTGCATTAGCGCTTCCATCTGCTGTTAGAATAGTAGAGACTTTCTCCAATGCCAGAATTTACCCCAATAAACCCTCCCAGAAGGCAATGTCCTCCGATCACATTCTGTTTTTAGGGTATTTGAAATATACAAACAAAATCAGCAACTGTTTTTTAGTTACTGTATTATTGTTTTTTCAACAATATTTTAGTTTTCCTAAAATATTATCATTGCTTTGTAATAATCACCACAGATTCAAATCATCCTTTAAGCAGGGATGGAAATAGAAAGCCAAGCATACTAGTATTTAAGAATTACAATTATTTTTTATGAAAAAATATGGATTAATAATGCAGAGAAAATATTTTGCAGGGGATAATTTTCATCTTAATATTACACAGTGAATTAAAAACTATGTTAACTCTATTTTATCCATTGAATATTCATGGATAGATTATATCTAGGAAATAATTCTGGTCACACAGACTTTTATTATGATGCTTCTAGCTTTTAAATTTTTGTCTTTACAATATTTAATTTGTTTTAATTGCTTTTAGGACCTTTGATGGTTATTGTTAAGAATGTCTTGTCTTTTCCCTTTATAATTTTAATTTGTTTATATGTTCTTTTGTTTCTTCGGTAAGTGGTCAATTTGTATGGATTGAGTTCTAATAAAGCCATAGGTAACAGCATATGCAGTGAAATATATTTGTCATAACTATTATATAAAATATAAAATTATTAAAATTATAAAATTATATAAATATTATAACATGTTTGTTTGTTTATCTTTTTCACAAATTAGCAACTTTCAACCTAAAGCTACTACACTTAACAAGCGTATAGACTATGATTATAGACCATATTAACAGTACATAATTCATGCACGTCGATGACTATGACTATAGATGATTTTAATAGCATATATATAGACTAAAAAGAATAATGCATATATATAGACTAAAAGGCCTGCTAAAAACTAAAAAAATAAAAAGGCATTTTTAAAACTGGGAGATTTCTCATCTTATACATTTCGATTAACTTCTATACAAATATCAACAGCTATTTTTCTCACATGTAAATGTTGCACGTGATATGTTGAGATTAAAAATTTCAAAGCATTTTAGCTTTTTGTAGCATGATCCAAAAATCAAAAATTAAATTATACACCCAAAAATCTGTACATCTGCATACTAGTTGGAGAGCAAAAAAAAAAATATTAATTTTTTTACTTAAAGCAGAAGTTATTTTTTATTTTTAAAATATAAATAAAATAAAAATCCAATTTTGGAGTTTTTAATTATTAACTTTGTTGTCCATTTTAACTTATTGTATTATTTCATTTAAGATGAACCCGAGAAATACTAAGTGTACAACTAATATTTTAATAAATAGATAATGTCAAATTTTTTCATTATATATTCTTTATTACTCATCTAAAAGCTAAGAAGAAAAAATATTACGAGCAACATTTTTTTTGTATCTATACAAATTATTTACGTGGTTGTAATAAATTATTGGCTTTTATGAAGTTCTCTAGTTATTCGTTTACGATGTCGTGAAATCATTTTTAAGGTTTATTTATGAACATAAAATATTGATAAAGGACATTATTCAATTCATTTGTGCTTTTTAAAATAAGAAATTTACCAAAAGGAGATTTTAAGAGCTATAGCCATAAAGTTACCTTATATACTTTATCTTGTAATAAAAATTCAATATTCTTCACAGAACAACGGAATGATTATCTCACTGAATAAGAAACTTTTCAAAAAAACTGTTGCAATGATAATCATTTTATCTAAACAAGACATATACTACCCAGCGTTTCAGCACATAAAGTGGAAGCTTCTACACTAACGTATGGCGAAATGACTCCCCAGTGACAAGTTCTCACACTTTTCAATTTACTAAAATAGCAACATCATGGTCGACGTAATCTGAGTATAGGAGTGGACGCAACTTTTAGACCCTTTTTTTATTTTCAGTTCATCTTGGTTTAGGGATTTTTTAAAAATTAATTTCTTGTTTGAGAATATAAGCGTCAAAATGGAACAACCTTATTTGTAGAGAAGTGGGCGAAGTTATTTTCTAATTTTGTGAACATCAACGTACGCCAAAAAATCAGTTCCTAATTACATTGTAAAGCGACATTCGGTTAGTTTCATCAGAATAATGATCGATGCATTACCTGTAATTATCAATTATCTGTGTTGATTATTTCGTAATGAATTTAATTCAAAACAACGGTCCTACTCAGATTTTAATCTGAGTAGACCGTTGTTTTGTCACCTTATCTTGTAATAAAAATTCAATATTCTTCACAGAACAACGGAATGATTATCTTACCGAATAAGAAATTTTCAAAAAATTGTTGCAATGATAATCATTTCATCTAAACAAGACATATACTACCCAGCGTTTCAGCACATAAAGTGGTAGCTTCCACACTAACGTATGGCGAAATCCCCAGTGACAGTTCTGGCAGTATCCCCAGTGACAGTTCTCACACTTTTTAATTTACGAAAATAGCAATATCATGGTCGATGTAATCTGAGTATAGGAGTGGACGCAACTTTTAGACCCTTTTTTATTTTCATTTCATCACGGTTTAGTGTTTTTTTTAATTAATTTCTTGTAGAGAATATAAGCGGCAAATGGGACAACCTTATTTGTTGAGGAAGTGGGCGAAGCTATTTTTCTAATTTTGTGAACATCAACGTGCGCCAATAATCAGCTCCTATTTACATTGTAAAGCGGCATTTGATTAGTTTCATCAGAATAATGATCGATGCATTATCTGTGATTACCAATTATCTGTGTTGATTATTTCGTAATGAATTTAATTCAAAACAACGGTCCTACTCAGATTTTAATCTGAGTAGGACAGTTGTTATTATTATACATTAATTATTTAATATTAATGATATAATGATCTATGATAGATTATCATATATGAGATATAAATAATGACATATGAGATATATGATATGATATGATATATTATATCTTAATGATCTAAAATCGTGAACCTGTTGCACTGAATAGTAAACAAAAAATGGTCACTTCTATTTTAAAGCGACAGAAAATGAATGATTACTCAGGCTTTAACTGTATGTTGTGCTGTAAATTTACTTTTACTTTTAACTTTATCTTTGTTTGAATATCTATTTTATTCCATAAATAAGCGAGCAACACAGGTTATGATTAGTTACTTCATTAAAGATCTAAAATCCTGTATCTCTTGACCAAAATCAACAAGTAAACAAACAAAATGGTTATTACTTACGTTTCACTAAAACCTTTGTTTGTCCACTTAATTTATCCCACAAATAAAAGAGTAACGAAGGTCATGATTAATTACTTCATACTCTATAAAATACTCCATTTTTCTCTTTTGTAAGACTTGTCGATGAATAAATGAAATTTTTCCTTCTCTACTACAGTACTCAAACAGTATGGAAAAATTTCATATATTCCGAAAGTTTTTGGTGTCTCTTACTTATTGAATTAGACCAGTTTTCCATTTTGCTTCACAAGTGAAAAATATGTTAGTTGGGTAAAAACTTTTACTATTAACGGTCACGTATGTGATACATGAATTGAATTCTCTTAACTGCTCTTACTAATTGCTATTGCTAATTGCTTCTTCTCTCAAGACGATGGTAATACAAAACAGGCGTGAACAATGTGTGGTTAATATGTATAAAACTCAAAATTTTGCATGTGAAAAAAAAAATAAGATTATTCGAAATTTCTCTTTTTATTGTAATAAGAAATAATACTCAATGGTTTAAATCAAATAAAAGAAATGCAAATAAATAGATTTGTAGTCATTCCCTCACATAAGAAACATTTACATTCATTTGGTTAAAGAAATTCTTCAGCACACAAATAAGTTATCCAGGAACATTTATTGTTATTCACCATCTTTATCTCATATATTTGTTTTTATACATATCATACGCATTGATCTATCGCTGCATATTTGATTAAAGTTTTTTTTTTCCATGAAATACAAATAGAAATAAAAGAATCAGAAAAAAACCTTTTACACTCAAAGATTAAGTTCCGATAACAGAACTCAACTGCCAAGCAATTTTCTTAATTGTTTTTTTTTTTCTCCTTTCTTTCTTTTTTATTATTCCTTTCTTATTTTTAGGTATTGATACAAAAAACATATGTTTTTATTTTCATTAAAATTCTGATAACGAACAAGACAGATTTTATTCAAGCGTGCTCTGATGGTTGATTTATTTCCTAACACACACTCCCTCACTCTTTGATGTAAAAAAAAAAAAAACTGGTAAAAAAAGGTTTTATTTAAAAAAAAAAAAAAAAAAAAAAAAATTGTTTTTCTATGCCTCTCTTTTTCTACTGAGTATCTTATAAGATGGGATATCACTAGATATCCACCATTTTTTTTTATCCATGCAGAAAGAAGACCAGTGGAGTTGAGTTGCTAAGACGCTTCCGATTAATGAAAGTATCCGTGTGCCCAAGAACTGTTCATTTTCAGACGATTTCCTTTTTTATCAATTGCTTTCTTTTTTGTCCCTGGGATAAAGAGAAGTTCGTGTTTCAGAGAACACCACCGGGAGGGTGGTTTTTGCGATGATTGCCAATATTTACAACCGAGATGCAAAGAGGAGGTTGGAGGAGAGGATGTACAAACACGCTCGAAGCAAGTCGGAGAGAAATTTGGTTATCGTACAGGAAGGGGTGTGTTGTAAATGAGTTTTTCCTCAGCTTTGCACAACCTGGAGAGTCCAGTTGGGAAATGTTGGGTGGAGAACGCAATTATAGATCCCCTTTTTTGTGAGGGTTCATCTTTAGTTTGCGAATTCAGTAGATCCTTCCCATTTATA